GACATAATCAGTAAATACAATAAAGCAACTAATTAGTGATAACAAGAAAACTTTTACTAATTAATACTATTTTATTATTATCAATTTTTAAATAAAAACATTTTTGTTTAAATGTAAATTTAATTTAACTTTATATTATTTTTAAATAATCTTAAATTCTTATTTTACTTATAATATCTCCCTTTTTTAATGTTTATCTCAATTAATTTTCTAATATTTTATTATATATTTTATTTTTTTTTCACTTCAACCTTTAAACAAATTGTTTTTAAGGAGGTATATCTATAAAAAAATAAATTTCTATAATCTGATTTAAAGTTATACTTTTCTGGTGTAGTACTCAAGTAAATGAGTAGCACGTCTGACACCTAAAAAAATATTATTTTACAAATATTTTACCCATAATGCTTAAGGATATTTTTGGTTTTTAATTAACTGTAAATAAGGGGCAAATTACTAAAAATCACTCATATAATGATTAAATTAATTTTTTTAAATGTCAGAACGTAAACAATAACGTAAACAGTTGTGCAAAATTTTAAAACAATTAATTGAGTAGATAATTCACAATCTTCGACAGAAAATTAAAAAAGACAATTTGATCCATCATTAAACGACAATCATTAAATCCAAAGTACCATTTTATCCATCATTAAACGACAAAGCTGCTGATGTTACAGCAATCTCAATTATATTTCTACCAACGTAAACAGTTTTGGGAGCACGGGTCCATATAATATTGTTCAACGCCTCATTAACATTTTGAATTTCTTTATCTAAACATCTTTCTAAAAGATTGTCTGAGTCAGGTTCTTTCCAAGAAAATTTGGTTTAATCAAATTACTTATAGACATTGGTAAAGATATAATGTTTTTGTATTTAGAAGTGTTGCTTAATTTATCCAATTGGTACCTACACCAAGATTTAACAGTACTAGGGCAAAATTTATGATGGTCTTCCGGATCATTGTTTGCTGAACAATGATGTATGAGTGCAGCAATACTCTTTTTCATACCATATGTATCACCTTTATTTTGAAGAATGGCCATAATAATTCTGAAGCGTGTTAATCACTTTATCAGTCAGTCTTCCTTTTCCAGTCAGTCGCTTACCATCACTTAATAGTTTTCCCTTGTAACTTACTTTTAGTGCTCTCAATCGTGATCCAACCTTTTTCTGAACATGTCCAACGCGTTCACTTTTTACAATTTTATATCCAGGATAAGGATATGCATTGAATATATCTCTAAATGATTTACTATTACCATCACCTCTGTATTTTGTGTATCGTAACCTGTATATTCTGACAGAACGTTTAAACATTGTAAGCGCATAGCTAACTCCATTGTTCCAGCACTTCCTTTATGGTTAATATTACAGTTATGTAAAGCATGCCAAATATTATAGGCTGGAGATTCTTTTTTTGACTCCCAGAACTTGCATTATTTACAGTTTTTGGACAATGTTTGGGTATCAATACATTTATATACACTTACTAAAGCGTATTTTTATAAGCATTTGATCACTTTTTTTGCTTACCTTAACCCATACGGCTTTTTTAGAAAAAGAAGAAAAAAAACAAAGAATGATGAATGAAACAATTGCTGCCCCATCTCGAACCCTCAGTCAATGTAGCAGCACTCCACTGCGAGTCAGGTTACTTGTCAGTCAATATATGTACAAAAGCCCCCAGGAGCAGGCTATTTCAGTATGACGTCAGATTGCTTACCTTATTACCCAATACTATTTATACCATTAGAAACAACAGTCACCACTCCATTCAATGACGAATATCCGCTTTTCTGCCATCTACCATCTACACTAACAGTTACATTCCATATTGTTTCATCTTTCACAAACATGGGCGAATCAATTTGAATATTATTTTTTATGCATTCTTGTGATGCTACTAACATTGAACTCTGGGCAGCTTTTACATATGCCATTTGCAAATTAGCTGTAATATTATTGTACGAACTTAAATTCATAGGTGGTGGCATGTTCATAACGCTACAAAATGTTTTCATACTGGTAAGACTTTTGCCAATTTCTCGAAACGCTACTGTTGTTCTAATATTAACATCAAAGGTTTTTCTCTTTTGCATATAAACAATATCATCGTCATTTTGATCTTTTATTTTTTTGGAGGTAAAATACTCTTTAGACCATTCACATCTCAAGCAACGAATAAAAATAATATGAGCAAATCCTTTCTTTGCAGATATGTCATGCTTAACTTGTAGTTGTTTGCATGGACAACATGGACAAGTCCCAATAAAATTTATAATTTTTTTTAGTAAGTCAGTGTTCACAAAAATATAGCATTCAGAGTCATTTATAATTGTATCATGGTTTCTTAGAGTGTCCAATTTTTTTTTTTTTTTACAGAAGCTGATTTGTTTTGAGAAGTGAATGTTAATGCTTCCTCTATACCTGTATCTTGGCTTTTATTAAGAGTTTGTACTGTTTTTATGTTAAACCTGCGTTTTTTCGCTCTAGACTTTTTTCTTCTATCAGATGATCCCATATTAAAGTTGTAATATAAACACAATGCTTAGAAAATCTGCATAAAAGTTGATTATTCTTAACATACCTAATAAAATGCCGCTCAATTTGTGGTTTGAAGTTATGAATTTTAAGTATGAACAAAGTTGATAATAGTATATATAAACATCCAATTTGATATAGCCAAGAAAATGTCAAATATATCTTGGTTTTCTGAGAGTCTTACATGGTTGTATGAGCGATTGCTAGGGACCAAAAATGTATAACATTAAAGTAAAGTGTTATTTTAGGCATTTTTAATTTTTTTTCACAAAAACAAATGTCTTTTTTGAATTCTTTGGTCTTTAAAATATCTAAACAGTATGTTTGTGAAAAATCTAAAAAATGAAGATTGTTTATAGATGTACCACCTTAATCTATAATTTACAGAATCCTGATTGATAGCAGTTGACTTTACAAATAAACTGAAAATATTATTACAATTTAAATAAACAATTTATTATTATTTTAGATTTGTTCTATATAGACTGCGTCAAAAAAATTTTAAAAGTTTTATATATTATGTAAATGTTTATATATATATATATATATATATATATTATATATATATATATATATAATATTTATGGGATATAATTTAAACAAAAGCAAAGAACACATTATTTTAAATAACTTCATTGTAGTAAGAAAATATATTCACAAATCAAAAAAATTGATACGGCAAAAATGTTAAAAGTGTAGCATGGGTATTGCAGCATAGACAGTATTAAATGGTAAAAGAACATATTTCCTTTTTATTTCCGACAGTAAACAGTACAACAAAGTTGCATTTAAACATGATGCTTTAAAAATGTTCAAGGATGATGAATTGCAAAAATATATAAATAAATTTTCAATGTTTTCAAACACTTTATATATGATAACTACATTAATAATTATAGTTTTCACAATGTTTATCTCAACAATTATTTTGCTATCGTTTAAGCTAAAGCAGTTATCACCATTGATTATTTAATAAAAAAGTGTTTGCAATTTTTTATACTCAAAACTTATTTTTAGTTTACTTGGTACAGGTCCATTAATATGCTCTTTTTTAAAGTATTGAAAATCTTTCACCTTTCACAATTAAACTATTGCCTCATTTTCACTATTTTTCTTTCCGATAACCTTCTAACCACTTGCTGCGATGGCAATGAGGTTTGCGTACAAGTTTTTTTAATTTTTCTAAACAGTTTTGGGAAATGATGATACGTTATCCAAAGTTTTGGGAAATGATGATACGTTATCTAAAGGGAAATGATGATACGTTATCTAATGGTCCAAAGCTTTTAGAAACACTTGCTAAATGCAATAACCTATGCATATTGTATGTGATCACTACCTTGCCATAAATATCTGCAACATGCTTAACAAATAAAAATAACAAACTGTGAGCTTAATCAACATACTTATCGCACCAAAATTCATTTAACAGGATACTTATAGTAACTGACAGTAACATAAAATTATTATATAATGCAGTTGGTAATATACCTTCAAAACACACCATGCCAGTTTATAAAAGTAGTTGCTGATACTTAGTTGCCTTCCAACTTTCAAAGTCTCTAAATAACCTAGGCTTACGTGCGAATTCACATGGGATATAATTTCTTAAATCTAGAAGTGTTTCTGACAGCTCACAGACAACATGAGGACCAAGCCTAGTCTTTAAAGGACTTTTCAGTAACAAATGTACCATTTTCCGCATGGCCCCAAGACATACTAAATGCATATAATCAGCAGGCACTTGTGATATCATTTTTAGTGGAATATTTGTAAGTGGGTTTTCACTATTATGATGATAATGATCTGTCATTCTTTGAAAAAAAATATCTGTTCTAAGAACTGCGACCGTTTCTGGAAAAGTGACACGCCCAACATAGTCACCACGCTGTTCACATTTATCGCACCCATAATAAGCACTATGCCTTTTATACATTTAACGAAAGCTCTAGCTGAGGTGTCACACGCCAGACCAGAAAGTTTTACTTTTTAATATACATGGTTACTAATAATTCCATTAAGCTGAAGTTCTTTTACTTCGTTCACAAAATCTTCTAAAAATTTATTATCCGGTGGCTTACTATTTCCACAGTATAATCCAATGACAAATAGTTTTTTATTTCGTTGAAGTTTATTTTCAAACTTTTCTATAAGTCTAAGAATATGCCAAAGCTGTGTATTAGAGCTTTTAAACAATGGCAAACCATCTGTATTGACTTGAAAAGATACTGTTAAAATTTCAGTTCATCATCACTAAACACAGTTGGCAAATTATAAAGTATCTACTGCTTTACATCAAAATAACAGAAACCTTCGTACACTTCACGCTTTGCAATTTCTGTTTGCATTATTGTTTTTGGACATTTTGATAAACCAGGAATTTATTTTCTCACAATGCAAATGAGATCACTGATTGCTTGTTGTATAATATAATGTTGAGAAGATCAAAAAGATTAATCCCCTTTCAGTTCATCTATTACATTATGCTCTTTGCTTATATCTGAATCAGTATCAGATGAAATTTCAAATTCTCTATTTTCATTATCAATTTGATAAAAAAGATTGAGATTTTCATTAAAAGCAGTTGTGTTGCAAGCTTTTATACTTGAAGTGTTGAATACACGTTTGAACAACTGTCTTGGGCAAAGTGTCAATAACTTGAGAAAAATTTAACTCCGTCTCACGTGAATCAGAGTTACCAGCTTTATTAATAACGAGTTCTCCTTGATTTATTTCGGTTAAAACATTTTTTACTTCTTCCCAAATCTTTCTTTTTTAAGTCCAATAGCTCATTACTAAAAACAAAATTACACAATTCCCTTTGATGAAAGTTATGAACTTATAAAATCTAACTAGTAGAAAATACAGTACATTTGTACGTTAGAACTTTGCACAATGCATTATGGTATTGCCCTACCAAGCTGGCGTGACATTTAAGGGACACTTATGGGCCGACAATGGCCTACCAGTTCTAGTGCGCCAGCTAAAGCACTTAATTGGAACATACGCGTTTAGCCGGAGCTGGCTCGCTAGCTCTGGCCCAATAATGTTCTGCTGTTTGGGTAAGCATAAGACTGGCATGCAAGGCTTGGTACAGCTAGGCAGTTAAGCCTGGTTTGCTATTGGGCCAAATAGTGTCTGCTTACTGGGATAGTTATGTCCCAGACAGCAAATATATACTGATCCAATAATTTCCTATTATATCACTATTTCCTATTATAGACTATATCCTTATATATCAAAGTAGAATTTCATTAGTTATTTAGTTTATTTCTATTGTTATTACTATTTTTCTGACAAAAGCATATATATATATATATATATATATATATATATTATATATATATATATATATTAGAGATGTCCTGGATAAGCTATCCGGCCGGATATCCGGGCCGGATATCAATATTATTCGATATCCGTTATCTGGCCGGGTAATAACATTATCCGGTTTTCAATAAACCGGATATTTCAAGTTGAAATTTAAAGGTTTAATAAACCAAGAAATGTTGTATTTTTAAATAATCTAATGTTAATGGTTTCTATTCAAAATTGTTATTATTGTTAATAATAATTTATTATTCAAATACTATTAAACTTAAACGCAACAAACACATCAGTTTATCACTCATTTAAAATTTATTTCCATTATGATGAATAAATAGTAACATTTCTAGTAATATTAAAAATAAAAACTTTATTAAAAGTTTTTCTGTTTATCAAAAAAGTTTTTAAAATTATTAAAAAACTTTTTTAATAAACAGAAAGAGATCTACATACCTAAATTTCCTTCATACTCTGCAAGTTCTAAAAAGCAGGAGTTAAAGTCATTCTCTTCCAAATCAACTTTTTTTTTTTTTTGGATTTGGCGTTAAATGATTCGAGATGGTGGCGGTGGAGCTAATAGCTCTATTAATAACAACTGGTGAAAGTCCAGTTATATTTCTTTGATTTTTTACTACAGCATCTAATAGCATTGATCTTGCTTGTGCTCTCTTATCAACAGGAAGAAATTTGAGCTTGTAGTGAGGATCAATAATGGTGGGTAAAACATATCTTTCATCATCTGTTATATTGAGATTATCATGAGAAAAGAATCACTTATTTAAAGATTCTATAAGTTGTTTTGTTATTTGAACTGCATCATCTTTTTGATCAATTTTTGATAAAAATCTTTGTAAAGCACATATATTCGGAACTACTGTTGATAAACTACAAAGTTCAGAACTCATAGCATTAGTAAGTTCATAAAAAGGCTTTAAAACATATAATAAATTTTCAATGAATTTCCAATCATTTGATGCAAATGTTGGCAATTCATTATGATCAGCTAAATACATTTGAACTGCTCTTTTAAGTTTTTGAAGTCGCTCTAACATTAAGTACGCACTATTCCAGCGAGTAGGCACATCTTGAACCAAAAGTAGAGGTGTGTTTTCATTTTGTTGTTGTTGCAGTAACTTAAATTCTGTCCATGGCTTTGATGAATGATTAAAGTGGCCTACTATTCGACGTGCTTTAGCTAATAAATCTATCACTAATATTTGGGATAAAACTGCATCCTTTATCACGAGCTGCAATAAGTGGATTGTGCAATGGACTGATGATATTTAAATAAGTTTAGTGCCTAGTGACATATTAGCAGCACCATCTTTGACTAAAATATGTCTTCTTGGTGCATTAATTTCCCAGCTTTCTAACATATTTATAAATTTTCCAGCTATGTTTAACCCTGTGTGAGTTTCTGGAAAATGTGAAGCATAGAGTACAGCATCTTTGTGCTCAAAATTTTTTTTAATCCAATGTCCTGATAAAGAAATAAATGTTTCATGAGATGTCGGACAAGTCCAAATATCTGAAGTAAACCTTATGTACTGTGACTTAGCAATTTCATTTAAAAAAAATTTTTTAATTTGATCATACAAGTGAGGAATTGCTGTCTCCGAAAAATAATGCCTACTTGGGATTAGGTATCTTTGTTGTAAAAAAGCCATTTAATCAATAAATCCATCATCCTCGGTTATACTAAATGGTTGATTATCTAAAGCAATCATAATAGCAATTTTTCTGTGAATTTGCTTAGACTTTTCATCATTAATATCCCATATCTTTTTTGATGTAAAACTATCTTCAACAGACGTTTGTTTTTGCATTTCGCACTTCTTCTTTGAAATCAATGAACTACATTTTGAACTTCCTTGAGCAGCTGAAGAACATTCCATTTTACAATTTTTTTCCTTTTCGTACAATTTGCAATGAAATTTTTTTGCATGATTATGCAGCGGAGTTGTAGAAAATGACTGCTGACCAGATTTACTACACCCCTGCTTATCTGCTTTCCACATGGAATGCAAATAGCAATGGAATCACAGCTACCACTAATTTTAAAAAGTTTCCATACAAAACTCGCCATTTTGAAAGGTTATTACAGTTACTTTTGTCTTAATTTAATATTTATCTAAAAGTTAAATAACATTATCCGTATCCGACCGGATATCCGGCCGAATAATTTTCAAATATTCGAGTATTCGATATCCGGTCGGATAACTGAAAAATTATATCCGGGACACCCCATATAATATATATATATATATATATATATATATATATATATATATATATATATATATATATTATATATATATATATATATATATATACATATATATATATATACATATATATATATATATATATATATATATATATATATATATATATATATATATATATATATATATATATATATATATATATATATATATATATATATATATATATATATATATGTATATATATATTTATATACATGTGTATATATATATATATATATATATATATATATATATATATATATATATATATATATATATATATATATATGTATATATATATTTATATACATGTGTATATATATATATATATATATATATATTATATATATATATATATATATATATATATATATATATATATATATATATATATATATATATATATGCTTTTGTTACCTGAAATATGCAAATACTTTTTCGCAGTAAAATTTTTAGGAAGTTATTAAAAATTTAATTTTTATTTATGTTAATATTGATTAGAATTATCTGACTTACTAAATATTTACAGTTAAACTCCTCCATTGAAAATGTATTTAATTCCTCCAAACGAATATTTAAAGATGCCTTTGAAAAAAGTGGTTTTGAAAATTATGAACTAAAATTTGACCCTGAAAAAAAGAATACAAAAAAACGGAATAGAACTAGAAATGTAATTTGGTTCAACCCCCCATATAGCAAAAATATTTTCACTAACATAGGAAAAGTGTTTTTAAAATTGGTCGATAAACATATACCTTTCTCTAATAAATTATATAAAATTTTTAATCATAATACAATTAAAGTTAGCTGCAGTTGCACAAAAAATATGGTAAGTATTATAAAATGTCACAATAATGCTTTGTTGAATAAATAAGAAATCATACATGTAAAAACTACAGAAAATTGTAATTGTAAACAAAAAATAATTGTCCCATGATTGGAAGTTGTTAATCAAAAAATGTGGTATATAAATGCGTTGTTTCCTCTAAGAATGTACCCGATAAACAATATATTGGCATAACAGAGGGTGAATGGAAAAAACGTTTTGCCAATCATAAGCAATCTTTTAAAAAGAAAAGACACCATGCTGTCAAAATATATATGGGAACTAAAAGATATAAATATTGATGATTTTGTTCAGAATTGGACCATCCTTAAAACAGCGCCTGCATACAACAATATTTCCAAAAAATGCATACTATGTCTACAAGAAAAATTTCAAATAATTACACATGCCAACCAAGAATGTTTGTTAAACAAAAAACCGGAATTGATTTCTAAATGCAGGCACGAAAATAAGTTTCTCCTAAAAAACTATAAAAATAAGTAAGCTCAAATAATAGTTACATTAAATTTTTTTAAAATATTTTTTTTTAAATATTTTTATTAAAAAAAAGCATAATTAATCATTTCTATATATATATTTACACACACGCACACACACAAATTTATTACAAGATAGTAATTTTGCAATAAAAAAGTCTTTTTTCATGTCTTTTATTTTATGCATTTTATTTTATGCAATAGTTTAATGCAATGTTATAGGTAATAAACAAATCAATAAGTTAAATGAGATCTGCTAAATCACATTATATTAAGAGTAGTTAAACAAGATTAAACTAAAATTCACGCAATGAGTAATGCTGAAAATAGTACTAAAATATTTAAATGCGACTTTGAAAATGCAATAAACTTTAGAGAGGATTGACGCTTTGACATTTAGATGCTGTATGATACAGCATCTAAAACCAAATCAGAAAAATCATAACTTTACATTTTTTTACATTAAAACTTAGTTTTCATAGTTTTGCCCAACTTGCTACAATGTTCATATCTTTTTGCAGATTATTGCATGGTGAGCTTTTAGAAAGCAAATTGTATAACTTAGTATCATCTGCAAATACAGATACAGTATCTGTTTTTGCAGTATCTTTATACTTACAGTTAAAAAATAATAATAATCAGCAGCCGTATTCTCATCTCTCCGTTAACCTTAACGGAGCGTTTGTCAAAAATTTTATTACAACATCTTATATAAAGAAATGACAAAAACTTTATTTAAATTTGTTTAATTAAAACTGATACTAAAATAAAACAATTTTATTTAAAAATTTATATTTTTAAAGAATTTTTTAAATTAATGTAGTAAAAAAGAACTTTTTGACAAATGCTCCGTTAAGCTTAACGGAGAGATGAAAAAAAACTTCAGATTAACATTTTTTCTTCTGTGACGTTTTTTATAATAAAGTTTTTTATATCATAAACTTATTGTTATAATTTTTTTAGCTGTTGTACCTTTAAACTGAAAATGCCAATAAAGTTTAGAAAATTTGACCTGTATGAATTTTTTAATGAAAAAACAACAATATGTGTGTCATGAATGTGATCTGTTTTTCATGGTGGATCAATGAAAGTTTGATGTATTGGTCAAATCACTTACAAGCAAGTGTACTATTAAGGTTGCTTACCTTTTGGCTGCCATATATGAAGCCACGCTTATAAAAATAACTGGAAGCAGCTGAAAATAAACTTTTTTCATTATTTTGGTAAATGCTTATTTACAATATTGTCAATTATGGAACAAAGACACCTTGTGAATCAGTGAGTATGTATCAGTAAATTAATATTAGTTAATAGTTTTCGAAAACAGTTCTATGTACTATTAAGGTTTCTATTTTTAGCAATGTATTTTGTGTAGCAAAAACTGCTAATCTCAGACATCTATGACATCTAAGGTTAATCTGATTTTATCCATATCATACTTATATTTAAAATCTTTTTTATCCATATCATACTTATTATATATAGTGTTCGAAAAATCGATGAAAACAGGTACCCTGCCAGATATGTGAAGAAAGGCAAATGTAATGCCAATTTTTTAAAAAAGAAGCAAATTAAAATCATCTAACTACAGACTGGTCTTGTTAACTTCAATACCATGTAAAGTGTTCGAAAGAATAATAGCTGATTGTATCATGAAATATCCCACAAAAAAAAAAAAAAAATTAAAAAAAAACAAAAACATGGTTTTATGAAAAGCATGAGCTGTACAACAAACTTATTAGAATACCTAGATATTTCAACAGATACGTTTCATTATGGAACACTGGTAGATATATTATGAACAGGCTTTAAAAAAGATTTAGATACTGTTTTACATTAAAAGTTATTATCCAAGTTATTAAATTCTGGTATTTCTAGTAAACATTTTAAGTGAATAGTCTGTTTCTTTGCTAACAGAAAACGAGTGTATTAAAGGTGAAATTGTGACAGATTAGGTTGGTATACTTAGTGATGTACCACAAGGGTTTGTTCTTAATCCTCTCTTTTTTCTGGTATTTATATATGATTTACTAGAAAAATGAATGTCTTTTATATGCTGATGAAATGAAATTGAAAAGTCAAAACTAAAACAAAGATATTGGTGTTCATTTATCAAGTGATTTTAAATGGGTCAAACAAGTAAAATATACAGCAAGTAAATCAATCAGTATGCTTTGGATAAAGACAGGGTTGCAAAAAACTGTTGTTTTTTTTGAAAAAAACCAAATACCATAGGTTTTTTTTAAAAATCAAAAAAACCATGGTTTTTTTGGTTTTAATGAAGGTATCTAAGTTCAATTTTTTTTTTTGATAAAAATGATAAACTGTTTCAAATCTTTAAAAATTTCAAGTGTCACTTATTTTTGTTTTATCTCTTTGCAACTTATCTAGAGCTACTGCAATTGGTTTCAATAAATTTTCTGTGTTTCACTTTATTTGTATATCACTTACTTTTTTACCAATCATGGGATCAAAGTCTTGATTTTTTTTAAACATTGTGAAAATAATGCTCCAGTTGTTGACAGTGAATCACATACAGAATTCCAGCGAATTTCAGTAGGATATGGCAATTTTTTTCCTCTTAATTTATAAATTGCTTCAGCTTGATGATTATTTCTTATATATTTTATTTGTGTAACATGTTTGCTCACATTTTCAATGTTATGATCATTTGCTAAAAGGTTCAGCATATAAGCAGCACATAGGTTATGATAAAATCTCCTTCAGATGACAGTACTTGTCTCATTGATTTCATATTAGCTGCATTGTCAGTCACAAAGCTTTTTACTGTGCATTCAAACTTACATCTGACAAAATCTATTGCTTCTCTTGCTAATTGTGTAAGATATTCACCAGTATGTGAATGACCAGAAGTGTTGATTGTTTCTACTAAAATGTAAATTTTATCTGTAATTACAGAGATACAAACTATATAGGTTCATTATGTACCTTACTCCAGCTGTCTAAAGACATGGCTACAATTTTCCCATTCAATACATTATATTTTTTAATTTCTTCTGTGTAAACCCTATCTAATATTTCTCCTCCAATTTGATTTCGATTAGGTAGAGTGTATC